ACCGGATCACGTGAGATTTCACTCGTGCCATCCCTACATAGAGCGTCTACCGACGCTCTGATATCTGTGTTTTGACATGGGACAGGAATGTTGTGTATACTAGTAAACTTTCCCAACAACATACCCTTCGATACCTATACGTAAAAGCGGGGTAAATTTGATCAGTGTTTACTTATATATAGTGGACAGAGTGTGAAAAAAAGGAGATCACATTAATCACATGGGCATCTAGCTACATAAACGTCATATAGTCTCAACACTCTGCTCCATACGTGAATGAGCAGTGTTTCTAAGTTTCGTGAGGGTCCATTTCTATGTTCAACCTTCCCTTTCCCTACTATACCAGAGCCTCCACTAGCCCCACGAGATGTGAGAGTGAGAGATGTGACTAACCAGACCCTCGCCCTCTCCTGGTCTCCTCCTCCAGCAGGTGGCCCTCCTCAATACGACACGCACTACACCGTCTCCTACAGAGGTGAGGGTACATTAGGCCATTAGGCTCTAGTGCTGACAACTTTAGAGGTATATACACACTTCAGCACATAGACTGACAACCGTTCCTCCAAATAGGTGTATAAACTCAATTCTTCATGCAGTTTCATTTCTATACTCGGCAACAACATGCATTTAAGGTCATATAGTTAGCTAGTCCTGCCTTGGTGTACAGTCAGTTCGTTGCACTTTTTACTTATGCCTTATGCCAGTATAGATAGCTAATGCAGTCACATATATTATTAACAACTTTGTATAGCTTATGGAGCCTCTGTAAAATTCTAAACTGCAGACCAGGAGATTACAGTGGAGGGAGCCACAGAGTTGAAAGTGACTGGACTCACTCCGTTCTTCTCCTACACCTTCTCTGTGACAGCAGAGAACTCAGTCTCTTCACATGACACAGACACTGCAGTCAGGACTACCTCTGTCTCTATCACAACTCTGGAGGGGGGTATATACATGTGTAACTATGAGGTAGAAAGGCAAAGGCATAAAAAAAACAAGTCAACTACACCTAGGGCAGCTCTTCTTTTTTCTAGGAAAAACTTCTTTTTGTCAAAGGAAAAACAAGAGCTGTGTGGGATTCGAACCACTCTGCAGTATAGGCAAGCGCTCTACCAACTGAACCACAATGGCAACTCAGCTGGTAGGGGTTAAAATCTTAAAAACAATGCAACACAAAGGCAAACATCAAACCACCATTGCACATAACTTGACAAAATGATACATTGTTATGAAAATTGAAAATATGAAGTTTAGCATAGCTACTCACACAGTAGCTATAAACATCCCATCAATTTTAAAAACGTGTCAGTTGCAGGTAGAGTTGAGGAGATAGAGATCAGGGAGGGGGCAGGAGATGACTTCATCTCCTGGTCAGAGCCACGCCCTCCCCACGGCATCATTCTCCACTACTACATCAGGATCATTGAGAGCGGGAAGGAGACTCTCATAAAGGACTACAACAGTACCACCATCTCGTGGGACACCTGGAAAAACAAGTGGAAAATCACCACCTCGGAAAACGTCAAAATACAGGTTAAGATCTTCCTTTTTAAATTTACAGGGACAACATCTATTAGTACTTCACTCAGATTCAGGCAGCAACGAAAATAGGGAGAGGTGAATATTCGGAAGTGCTAAACATATCCCTTTCTGAGACTAGCCGTAAGTTTCGACAGATCAATAATGTGAGGTAAAATTAATGTCTCTTTTTCAGCTGATGCAACTGTGCACACATCGAGTTGGTACCTCGCTTTACTAATAGTACCTCTGGCGACATTGACCATGATTATTACTTCAGCCGTCATACTTAGAAAAAACTGCTTAGTTACAAAAACCAAGTCCTCCTCCTCTACTAATGTGGAGTGTAATAAAATGTCGCAAGGAAACACCATGCCTTCCCTAACATGCAGTCAGAACCCCATCCAGCTTGAATTCTCCCTTAATGATAATCCCAGTTATGAATTGGTCGGCAGCAGTGGAGTCTACTGGAATGAAGGACTTGGAGATAACCAGTTAACTTCACATGGAACTACTGCAGCTTCCTTGGAGATCCAGCCCCATCAAGTGTTTTCTGGGTGTGAGTCAGTCAATTCCCCCACTACACCTGTCTGGGAATCCGGACCAATTTATCAGGAGATAACTACTTAGCATTCGTCACTATTGTCATGAGTGAATTGAAAACTGCGACAATACAGAGTACGCATGCGCAGTAGTAGTGTGGGCGTTGCATGCAATCTGTTGGGAATCTCTCACAGTGAGACTGAGTGATGGCTCTTCAGGGCAGCTCATACGCGAGGTTCTCTACAGTGGCTCTGTGTCTCACCAGTCTCGCAGGCCTCGCGAGGACCCAGGCACCCCATGACGGAGAGCAGGGCTGTTTGGACGACTCCTCACATCCTCAGTACGACGACCACGTCCGTCATCTCCTCGACACACGAGATTACAGCAAACTACTGCCGTACGACTCTGACGGCACGGGAGGTGTGTGGCAGACGTTGGATAGCGATGGAGATGGAGTCAAAGTAAGACGAAATTACTTTTGCTGGGAGCTCTTTTAGACACCTGCATTTTTAATAGTGGGGAGCCAACAGTGCTGTATATTGCAATGAAGTTGTTCATGTGTGTGGAAGATCAAGTGGTCATCAGGATAACTGGATGATAACTCAACACATTTCAGTTCCAGACAATGTTACAACTGTGCAAGTAATGATTCATTCGAGACTTGACGATTCTTGTGTTCCCTCTGCTCCATCGTGTGTGGACGATCTGTCGCTGTATGTGTGGGAGACTCCGACTCAGAACAACCTGTTAGCTGCAGACACCAGTAACTATCACTTCATTTCTAACGTCAGCAGTGGAGAGAGAGAGATAAAGATTTCTCCACTCAGTCAGTCTGGGTTATACCTTGGTATCAGGGACAATGGGACATGTGCCAGTGTCAGTCGAGTGTTGGTCTACTATCAGCCTGTGTGTGAGGCGGGGAGTGAGGGTCTGGTGAGAGTGGACCAGAACACCTCTGCTGGGAACACTCTCCAGGGCCACTGTGTGGAGAACAGTGTATCCACTAGTGACTCTGGACCTCCGCTACTGGAGTGTCAGGAGTCTGGACGGTGGAGAGTGGTCAGTGGGTGTCAGTGCTCTGCACACTACTTCTTAGACCACTCCAGAGACCTTTGTCTCGGTGAGTTATGTGAATAGACTGTAATTGCTAATGTCCTGTTGTATAACTGTGTTGCACACACAATCTGAACAGACAAAACCTGTCTCTTTGTTGCATAGAAATGTGTGTTAACTTCATAAGGTTTTAGTTGGTTACATGTCTCCACTTGTGAATCTCGTTTTTGTATTATACTAGCAGATTGACAGTTGTGATTGTCATACAATGCCAGCCGGCTTGGCTCTCAATGAAAACCACAATTGGTGGTACATCATATTGTGTTGGCCACAGCCATTTGCCCACTCATAGTAATGTACTATAGTGGGAAGTATTGTAGGAAGTATTGTATTGTGGTTCAAGTTACATTGTGTGTGTGTGTACTCGGGCAAGGCCACGCACATGTGTGCATCGGTAGGATTGACCCTTTTTAAATACTCTCGTGTCAAAAAACCGTAGACTGTGTGTGACTGTGTAAAGGTGGTATCAGGGGTGCAGTTGACTTGTTTGCTTTGCCTTCCATTCTTTCCTCGTTGTTGTCACATGGCTCCGTGTTTTGGCTACTAAAGCACTCATGTTTCATCCCAGTAGCCTCTCTCTCAATGTAAAAACATAGTCTTAACGAGCATGCATGATGCACAATGTTTTCCTCACACAGAGTTGTCTATCCTAACCTCTACACACGCTTTCCTGCTTCCATATTCCTTTTCCAAACACTACTGTTAATACTCTATCGTTATTCTTAGTTCAAGCAAGGGTTGAAAGTTTAATGAATTTTTGTTGGCGAGCGAACACGTTTTTTTCACACATGGATTTAGAATTACATTTCACTCAGTATGTGCAGCAATGAGGGTCACAAACATATTGTATAGAAAAATCCTGCAAATAGGTCCACTTGCTTCATTCACCAACAACAGTAATAGTGTGTTCAGGGGTCTGTATAATATAGGCTGTATTACAGATGGTAGCCTCAGAGTGCATTGAAGCATTACATGTTGTTCTTGAGGGTCAGACTATCGAGTGCAACATCTGGTGGGCACATGTCGTAATTCCAACCCACTGAATTCAATGCACATGTATACGTTAGTATTATGTTACAGAAGCTTGGCTGACTGACAGTGCAGTAAGTGGCTCTGACATCTGTTGCTCCTTGAAGCACCGCATGATGCTGTAATAAGGCTGCTATTTATCTAATCATGGATGGACGTGTACCACAAATACATCATCGATGCATTAAGTGCTACTATAAGATGGAACTGGTAGTACCACATCAACCCTGTAGGAGTCGACTCTGCAGTTGTGAGTAGGAAATTGATATTGCCTCCGGTTTGGAACACAATTTATGTATGGGTTTCCTCCTTTACTGAACAATGGTGCCTGCATGCAGAGCTGGTCGCAGTGCACACTATCACACATCCAGCCGTTAGTTTTAGTCTGCATAAGTCAACCAGAACCCAGTGAGACATATTTCAGTATGGTATATACGTATGAAATGCAGAAGCATCCCTGTGCGCATTAGGTTGACTGATGGTCTATGTGTATATTGGAGCCCCTCTATATAGCTAATCCTGATGTCTATGGGACATAAGATTTTAGTGAGGTGTTTTTAATGCAAGCAACTCTCCTTGTTTGGGGGGCAGTGGTGTCTTTAGAGACGAGGTTCTTCATTTGAGGGGTTGGCGTAGCACTGTATATATACACTGTTCGGTAAAGCAAAGTGCACCAATAACACACAATACAGGTGTTGTGACTGGGGTTATAATGCATCAATGGCTACTACAAATCTTGAAGAGGTGGGAGTAGATCTTGTTCAGCTTTGTACTACTTAGCATGGGTAAGTATAGGTTTGTACTACTTAGCGTGATTAGTAGCTACAACAGTATGGCGTTGCAGGTAGAATTTTGGAACTATTTTTATTGCCAGCAAATGCACGGATGTTTTCTCCTTTAAATTTGGTGTACCCATAAGTTTCAGACGAAGAGAAAAGTTGCGTGCTGCGTTTTGTTCGTTTTATGTTTCCTGTGGTAAATTTTGAAAGGGAATGTTGCAAGGACCATTCATAACTATAATACAAAAGCATAGCTCCCCTATAGCTTGAACGGGTTTAATATTTAACCTTCCTTTCCCTACTATACCAGAGCCTCCACCAGCCCCACGAGATGTGAGAGTGAGAGATGTGACTAACCGGACCCTCACCCTCTCCTGGTCTCCTTCTCCAGCAGATGGCCCTCCTCAATACGACACACACTACACCGTCTCCTATGGAGGTGAGGGTAGTAATAATATTCTCCCAACACAAACAGAAGGGAAGTTTTTTACAAATTGTGTGTCCAAGAGTTGTTTACCTGTGTGCCTACATACAATCCAGGAGTTTTTGGGACACTCAGGATTATTCTAAGAATACGAGCAGGGTTTGACCACTCGATACAATTAAACTAGGGACATAGTTACGGAACAGTAAGTTAAAGCTCTTTCAGCCCAGATGGTTACAAAGGTGTTAAAAAAATTGTACTTTTTACCATTACTAACAACAAATGTAAATGGCGATAACGTTTGAAAGCTGCAATAGGCCTACCATAAGTAGCTATGGGGAAATATGAACTGTGTATAAGATGATTTGAAAAAGCTTTCCCAATCTAATTTAATTTTTGTTGTACTTCAGACCAGGAGATTACAGTGGAGGGAGCCACAGAGTTGAAAGTGACGGGACTCACTCCGTTCTTCTCCTACACCTTCTCTGTGACAGCAGAGAACTCAGTCTCTTCACAAGACACAGACACCGCAGCCAGGACTACCTCTGTCTCTATCACAACTCTGGAGGGGGGTACGTTACTCTATAGTGAAAATGCTTGTGAGTTGGATCCATGTACACACAAGCTTACAGGGAAAACTTTGCAGATAACTTTTAGTTTTCTTTCTCAGAACTTCTACCGTTGTTTATGCTTTTTACCCAATTGAAATAGCATATCTTCCGGTTTCCCATGTGCACTAATGCACCTGCACTCACATACATTAACAGGGATAATGTTTTGCAGAGCTACTGTCAGCAAACTTGTGGCCAGACATGTGTTGGATATTCCAGCTACTGAGTGCCCTGTATACAATACTATGCTAGAGTAATGTAAGTTTGTAAGTGCTGGCACCGATAGCAATTGTAGAGGGCACTCTGACTACTGCAGTGTAGAGTGGTGTATAGCTACCTTAATTGTGGTCACAAACTTGTGACATGAGTTGTATGATATTCCAGCCACTATGCTGCAGTGATCTAGCTTTACAACAGCTGCTCGGCAGTTGTATACAACTCGCTTGTTGACACTGACAGGTAACCCTGGAATAAGTTTCAGTAGATGAGTCAAACACAGGAAGTGTTTGCCTACACACAGGAAGTGTTTGCCTACACACAGGAAGTATAATATAGCTTCCACTGAGCACTGAGGGCCTCATAGAGTTGTAGGGTAGACCACTTACGGTGGTGTTTCAAGCCTATTGTTATAGTAACGTTGTTTCATCGATTGTGCCATGAATTAAACTCATGGATTCTTATAAGGTGGAGTGGCAGAGTAAACACCTTACCAAAATGCTGACCTAGTACTTCAGTTAGTGCCCTTTTGGTGCACATAAAATTATTTTGCACGTAATGCTCAATTAATGAGGAACTGAATCGATAGTCACTGCCCCAGCTGTTGCTGACAGGGTTGCAAATGATTACATGTGAAAAGTTGAACTATATATCTGTGCTCGCTTGCCAAAAATGCGTGACGTTCGTTCTAGTAATAGAGGGTCTCCCCCCGTTTCAGTTGCAGGTAGAGTTGTGGAGATAGTGATCAGGGAGGGGGCAGGAGATCATGACTTCATCTCCTGGTCAGAGCCACGCCCTCCCCACGGCATCATTCTCCACTACTACATCAGGATCATTGAGAGCGGGAAGGAGACTCTCATAAAGGACTACAACAGTACCACCATCTCGTGGGACACCTGGAGAAACAAGTGGAAAATCACCACCTCGGAAAACGTCAAAATACAGGTGAGTGCCCTTTCTTCCATTGTTGGTGCAAACGTATTATAGCTAGTTATACTGGCCCAGATCCAGGCTGAGACGAGTGTAGGTAGAGGAGAGTACTCTGAGGAGGTGGACGTTTTCCCATCAGCTGAGAGTGAGTTTAGGATTACTGTAAATTTAATGTATGTATCATCAGCAATTTTCGTTGGGGCATGGGGCAACGCATTGACAAATACAAACTTTGTCACAATAATTGCGATGTGTAGATGCATTGCAAGCCCAAATCCCTGGTTCTCAAATGTTTTGACTCCTTGGTTTTTTCATGCCAATTATTATGTCTGAGTGAGTGTACGACCAAAAACGTTAATTTGCTCATTTTATGCAATTTCTATAAAACAAATGCGTTCAAAAGTTATGGCGTGAAAAGCAAGTAAACAAGCCAATAGGCAATTAGCGCAGGCTTACCCGCGACCGCGTCCGCTCGACTCTGTGTATCTGCAGCACAGAAGTCACAACGAAGGGCGTGTATCGACACCGCATGCTATCTACGACTCGATCTAGCCCGTGTCAGACTCTCGCTAGCTACTAGCGGGATACCACGAGTAAAGATACAAGCCCAGCCTATCATAGTGCTACGCGCATGCGGGCAGTTCGCGAGGGTTACTGTAGTGCTTTCATTGCTCATAATCAATGTTTTCCTCTGGCTCTCACAGCTAAAGAAACAGCTGATGCAACTGTGCACACATGGAGGTGGTACCTCGTTTTACTAATAGTACCTCTAGCGACATTGACCATGATTATAACTTCAGCCATCATACTTAGAAAAAAGTGCTTAGTTACAAAAACCAAGTCCTCCTCCTCTACTAATGTGGAGTGTAATAAGATGTCGCAAGGAAACACCATGCCTTCCCTAACATGCAGTCAGAACCCCATCCAGCTTGAATTCTCCGTTAATGATAATCCCAGTTATGAATTGGTCAGCAGCAGTGGACTCTACTGGAATGAAGGACTTGGAGGTAACCAGTTAACTTCACATGGAACTACTGCAGCCTCCTTGGAGATCCAGCCCCATCAAGTGTTTTCTGGTTGTGAGTCAGCCAATTCCCCCACTACACCATCCGGACCAATTTACCTGGAGATAACTACTTAGCTATTGTGTCATGAGTGAAAACTGTGTGCGACAAAAATTGCAATGCAGAGTACGCATGCGCAGTAGTAGTGTGGGCGTTGCATGCAATCTGGTTTGGAATCTCTCACAGTGAGACTGAGTGATGTCTCTTCAGGGCGGCTCATACGCGGAGTTCTCTACGGTGGCTCTGTGTCTCGCCAGTCTCGCAGGCCTCGCGAGGACCCAGGCACCCCATGACGGAGAGCAGGGCTGTTTCGACGACTCCTCACATCCTCAGTACGACGACCACGTCCGTCCTCTCCTCGACACACGAGACTACAGCAAACTACTGCCGTACGACTCTGACGGCGCGGGAGGTGTGTGGCAGACGTTGGATAGCGATGGAGATGGAGTCAAAGTAAGACGAAATTACTTTTGCTGGAAGCTCTATTATAGCTGCATTTTTATAGTGGGGAGCCAACAGTGCTGTATATTGCAATGAAGTTGTTCATGTGTGTGGAAGATCAAGTGGTCATCAGGATAACTGGATGATAACTCAACACATTTCAGTCCCAGACAATGTTACAACTGTGCAAGTAATGATTCATTCGAGACTTGACGTTTCTTGCCTTCCCTCTGCTCCATCGTGTGTGGACGATCTGTCACTGTATGTGTGGGAGACTCCAACTCAGAACAACCTGTTAGCTGCAGACACCAGAAACTATCACTTCAGTTCTAACGTCAGCAGTGGAGAGAGAGTGATAAAGATTTCTCCACTCAGTCAGTCTGGGTTATACCTTGGTATCAGGGACAATGGGACATGTGCCAGTGTCAGTCGAGTATTGGTCTACTACAGTGTGTGTGAGGCGGGAAGTGAGGGTCTGGTGAGAGTGGACCAGAACACCTCTGCTGGGAACACTCTCCAGGGCCACTGTGTGGAGAACAGTGTATCCACTAGTGACTCTGGACCTCCGCTACTGGAGTGTCTGGAGTCTGGGCGGTGGAGAGTGGTCAGTGGGTGTCAGTGCTCTGCACACTACTTCTTAGACCACTCCAGAGACCTTTGTCTCGGTGAGTTATGTGAATAGACTGTAATTGCTAATGTCCTGTTGTATAACTGTGTTGCACACACAATCTGAACAGACAAAACCCTTCTCTTTGTTGCATAAAAATGTGTGTTAACTTCATAAGATTTTAGTTGGTTACATGTTTCCACTTGTGAATCTCGTTCTTGTATTATACCAGTAGAATGTCAGTTGTTAATGCCGTACAATGCCAGCCAATACTTGGCTTGGCTCTCAATGAACACCCCAATTAGGGTTCAGGTAAGGCTGAAAGTTGAAAAAAAACTCAAGACCCTATAAATGCTGCCATCGATAAGATTGATCCTATATATACAAGTGGAAAAATCATTTCTTCAAAATGAAGGGGGATGTAGGGATGGTGTAAATTATGAAAAAGGATGCCAACAAGAAGATGCTTCAGCCGACAACAAAAATCGTACATCCATCCCTACATCTTTCTTTCTTTTGCTCTGTATAAAAAAATGTGTGGTTACTTGTCATAGAGTATGTAAGATACATTATTCACACCATAATTATCACAGTAAAAATGGGGTGTTACGGCAACACCTTTTGGGGCGCCAGTGGGACTGTGCCAGTTTGGCACCCTTGGGGTGTTAGGGTGGGGTGTTAACCATCACCCATAAGAGTGTACAGGAACACCCTTTCTGGGGCAATGTACACCCATAAGAGTGCTATTTAGCCTTTCTATTGATGCTACAATACACCCTTTGGGGTGTTCATAAACATGCATTAGGTGCTGCTTCAATTCTTCATAGGGTGTTCGACAACACACAGTTGGTGCTCTAGAGCACTGTTCGTTGTTGCAGTAGCGCCATTGCTCTTACT